GGACCTTTTAAAAATGCCACGGGATGCAGGAAAAATTGTTAAAAATTGGGACTGTCCCGCCAAAAGCGGGACGTCTGGTCACCTTATTCTGCAGCCCTGAGATCAGAAGAACGAGATGGCACCCGGCTACCACTGCTGACCATGCTCACTGGGATCCAAGTAAGAGGTCTTGGAAACAATGGGAGAAAAATGTGGAACAAAACTCAAAATGATAATGATAAAGCAAGAACACCAGCCTAAGAGAGAGAGTGGTGGAGCTAGTGAAACTGAGTCTTGGCTACTTGCAGGCTTGGAGCTGAACTCACAGTGGTGCATCTTTGAGTCTAATGGCAGGGGTAGGAGAGGCGTTCCAGTGGGGAAGGGGTTCCCTGTAGAACAATCAACCACGAGATCAGAGGGCAGCATCTGCCCAGGGTCAGGCTCAGAGGCAGGAAGACGGAGGGGAAGCGGGAAACCCAGGAGGAAGTGGGAGGAGGAAGTAGGACGCGTGCGGCTACATCCTGGACACAGCAATCAAGGCTACGAAACCAAGCACGTAGGAACTGTTGCCTGGAAACCCAGCTTGCTCTGTAAACGCCCACCCAAATCACAATGAAGTTTGACGATGCATCCTCCTCTCCCTTCCCCACGCTGGTAACCACCAAAGAGTGTTTCCTTCCGTGCGTAAAACAGTTTTTGACTGTTAGCCCCTTTCTCACTGAGGGACTTCACCCAGCGCAGTGGCCTCTAGCCTCCTCCCTGTCTTAGGAAAATATTAAACTACACTAGGAAGCCGGCTGTCGACAGAACAGCACCTCTCTATGGGCACACAGGGAATGATCACCAAGTGCCAAAACGCTAGACAAGCGCTAAGGGCGTCACCAACTCTGTGGCCATACCATCTGGGCCAAACATGAAACGGGCAATCCACAGGTGGGCCCTGGGTCTGTGCATGGCTGCGCGTCTGCACAGAACACAAAATCACACATACAGCTCAGGTGGGGAACCCCATGGCTGGCAAAACAAATGGGGGCAGGGGACCTCACTGTTCACCTTCTTCGATTTTTGGAATTTTGAACCATAAGATTATATTACCGATTCAAAAAACAAACACAATAAAAACGTGGCTTACAACCCACACTAAACCTTCATTTTGCAAAATTTACCTACATCTTCCATTCACAGAACAACATCAACGAAATACTGGCAGGATCAATGCCCAAACATGAACCACATTTCTGTCTGTGTAGTTACATTAAAAATTGGAATGCATCCCTTCTGGAACAGTATCCTGTGGCTGTAGGTACCCGTGTGTAGGCTGAGTGGTCATCTGAGATGCTGCCTTGCTGGGAGACAAATCAGAGGGAGGTTTCCTTAACCTGCGATCTGCAGACGACAGGCCTTTGCTGGCTGAAAGCAAGGAGGGCTTGAAGCACTGAACTGAGGAAGGTCACCGACAGACAGCCTGTAGTAGGTCTACATTACAACTCAACATAAAAAAAAGAAAACCCTCATCATGGGGCCGACAAGTAGCATCACGATCCATGAAAGAAAGACGGACATTGGCTCTTCAACAAGGCGGCCTGAGCGGCAAACGCAGAGAAGCAGATCTTTGGGAAGACCGTCACCCTTGCGGTTGCGCGAGCAACACCATCAAGGGCGCCAAGGCTAAGATCCAAGGCAAGGAGGGCATTCCCCTGGAATGAGCAGTGTCTGCTTTTTGCTGGTAAACAGCTGGGGGATGGCTGCTTGCTCAGACTGCAGCATCCAGAGAGAGCCCACCTTGAGCTGCGTCTGCGTGGTGGCATCAACAAGCCCTTCCTGCGCCAGCTGGCCTAGAAGTACAACGTGGACAGGATGATCTGTGGCAAGTGTTATGCCCGCCTTCACCCACGCGCTAACTGCTGCAGGAGGAAGTGTGGTCACATCAACAACCTGCATCCCAAGAAGCAGGTCAAATAAGGGCCCCTTTCTGCTGGCTCCCCTGCCTCCTACTGGTGGGTTCTCCTGAGCCCAATGGCCCTGGACCCTCAGTAAAGTGTCACTTTCATCGAACCGAAGCAGTGAAACAAAAAGATGAAAGTTGTCAGACTTCTTTTACTTGGATCCACAATCCACGCCCATGAAAATAGCTGTAAGAATTCCAATGGTGTGTATTACATCAGTCAAATCTGCTGCAGTACACGTCATTAGAGTGTTCAAACGCAAATGTGTGACTTTGAGGACTACGGTGCACCTGACCCAAGCCATGATGCTTTCAATCACTCATGTATTTGAAATCTCGACAGCCACTAAGGGAGACGAGGGAAGAATTGGTGCTTTTGAACTATGGTGTTAAGAATACGAAATAGACCCCGGGCGGCCAGAAGCATGAACCGATCTGTCTTGAAAGCAGAACACCCAAAATGCTCCTTAGAAGGAAGGAAAGTGAGTCTCTGTCTCATGCTCTTTGTACACGCGATTAGGAGGGCCAGTCCAGGACAAGGACATCCAGCTTGGTAGAGCTGAGGGTCGAGAAACAGATGATTCTCACGAGACGGATGGGCACGGTGGCTGCAATGGGCTCAAACATAGGGAAGATTGTGAGGGCGGCGCGGGGCTGGGGAGAGTTCTGTCCTGCTGTACGCAGAGCAGCTATGAACTGGAATCAGCTTGACGGGCACTGCACAACCACAACAAAGTGAAAAAGCGAAGCGCCTCGACAAAACCATGGGCACCGTGGCTGCAGCAACGGGCCGAAACAGCACCAG